GTCCATGGGCTGGAACCGGCCCGCGGGCCGTAGGTTGCCGACCCCTGCTTTACACTGTTGGACTACAACTCCCGAGAATCCTCACTCCAGTCAGGATTTTCACTACCACCACCAGAGGATACAACAGCAGCTTTTCCAAACTTTGCTTTGGGTTGAGTGGGAATCTCACAGCCCCCCAAATGTTACTGAATTACAACTCCTATTGGTGCTAGCCAACGGAGTCAAAAGTGAAGAATGCTGGGAGTTGGAGTTCAACAGCATCTAGAGCAATAAAATCCCAACCCCATTTTAAACATACAATGGGCCCCTGCTATCCTCTAGGGCAGGGGTAGGCAACCTTTCCCCTTTAAGGGCAGAGGGACTTCAGCTCCCAGAAACCTCAGCCATGTTGGCCAATAGCTCCTGGGATTCTGGGATCTGAAGTCCCTCAGCCCTTAAAGGGGAAAGGCTGTCTATCCTTGCTAGGGTTTGGTCCCAGGAGCCTCTGTGGATACTAAAATCCGTGGTTGCTCAAGTCCCATTAAATACAATGGCATAGTAGAATGGTGTCCCTTATATAAAATAGCAAAATCAAGGTTTGCTTTTTGGAATTTGTGTATTTTGGAATATTTTCAATCCATGGATGCTTGAATCCATGGATGAAATAATTTCTGGATAACTAGATAACTGAATTAAATAAAAGGAGGAAAGGATTGTTTTCTCCCTGTGTCGTCCCTAAAGTAGGAGCTCTTCTTTCCAAATCTGTATTGGAAATGATGGGGAGCGACTTGCTCCTCTAATTAAATGCTGCCCTTAGGAAAGGGATAGTCTCACAAGACTTCCATTAACCCAGTATTTATAACATTTATTTATAATATTTATTGCAAGGGTGGCAGTCCTGTAGGCTGTGGTGGCTAGGACTGCTGGGACATGCAGTTCAACAACATCTGGAGGGCTATTTTATTCCCCCTCCTGTGTAGAGCATCATTCCTTTTCTGTATTCTAGTGCTGCTTGCAGTAGATTAAAAGCCAGTGATAGATTACAACACCATAAAACAGTACAAAGGGCAGATAAGTCAGCTGAAGTCACTAACAGAATTTTAAATGTTTGTTTGGTTGATTTTTTAAAAGTTTTTTTTGCTTGGACTTTCAAGAAAAATATGCTCTGCATACACAAGATCCCAAATTTAATCCCCAGCATCTCCAGACAGAAGAGGAAGGCTGCTGACTGAAAACCTGAAAAGCAGCTGCTGGTCTGCCTAGGCAGGACTGACTTAGGGGGGATGCAGACCAGGGCCTGATATTACCAGGGATATCGACACGATCGCTCCCAAGCGTCCTTTCTAACCCGCTCCAAATCATCAACCCTGGTTCACAGAGGAACTTAGGAATATGAAGCGGGTTGGATAATGACTAGAGTGCATCTGGTGGAAAACTTGACTCTTTTCTAATAAGACTCATCATAGGAACTTTTTTAATTCCCATCGAGAGGCAATACATGCAGCACATGCAAAATCCTCCTCTGCATGTATTTTACGTCTATGGAATCTTGTCCAGCAGAACTGTTTAGGGTGGTAAGGGAGATGACACAGGCTCCCCCTGTGCAGAACCCTTAACCCGCCAACAGCCTGTTGTGATGTTTTTGATAGCTATTTCACAGATAAAATCTCTCAGATAAGAGCTGATTTAGACACTGGAATTATAGCAGAAGTGACTTATGAGGTGTCCAGTAAACCCGTTGGTGAGATTAGACCAGATTGGTTCGAATTGGTGAGTACCGATGACGTGGACAACATTCTTGGAAAAGTGAAGAAG